TTTTACGGATGCCAAGGGGTCCGGAGAAAAAAAACCTGTCTACATTTCACAACGGATGTGCAAGTGCCCTTTTGGCGCAAGTCAGATTTCACCCAACCCCTTTAATTGCCTCCTGTTCAGTCATGCATGAAAACTAATCCAGTAAAAATGTCACCAAAAGAAGGAGGAAGAGTTACTCTAAAAGTACATATGAAAATATCTTATCTATTTTACTACAGAAAAAAACTATGGCCAATTAAAAAACAAATACAGGACAGTGTACAAATACACACGTAACCCTGCAGGCTCTGTCCGCATAATTGTTTTGGGGTGTCAGAGCAGTTTTTAAACTTTTTTTATGAAATTCTATGAAAAAAAAATAAAATGACAGAGCTGGGTTTTCTTTTACAACCCCCGGATATGCGCATATCACTTGCTTTCAGGTGCCCCCTCAGAATATTAACCCTATAGTTACGCCACGTACTGCTTTTATATATACTGCTAGATATATGTGAAGAAGTGATGAGAGACAAAAAAAACCCTACAATTAATGTTTACTCTGCTGGCAAATAAAACCCTGGGGAAACCGGGAATTCCAAATTTAACTCAGCCGACGCGACAGGGCCTGAACTCTGCCCTGGTTGCTAAGGGGTAGTACAGTAAACAGTCTTTTGTAAACATACTGGTTTATTCAAACTTTATAAAGTTCACTAGTACTTATAGGCCTGAATTGGTTTTTTCAATCACAATTTTGGGAATCTGCCAAAAAAGTGGCAACCCAACCCCAAAATTATATTTTATATTGAAAAAAAAAATGAAGCACCAAAAAATAATCATGACTGGAAATGAGCTGATGAAATTGGCTTTCCATTCATTATTATGTTTGGTGCTATATTGTTTTTGAATATAAATTATATTTTGGGGGGATTTGGGATCCGCTATTTTTGACTCACCCTGTAGTAACGCAAATTCAAAATGCATAAGGAGTAAACTGACGATAAGCCTGTGAGCGTTTTTCCCCAGAGTGAACCGAAATTGAAAAGATCTCGATATCCCAGCCCCCCCCCCCCCGCTTTTTGTTTTTACGGATGCCAAGTGTCCGGAGAAAAGAAAACTGTCTACATTTCACAACGGATGTGCAAGTGCCCTTTTGGCGCAAGTCAGATTTCACCCAACCCCTTTAATTGCCTCCTGTTCAGTCATGCATGAAAACTAATCCAGTGAAAATGTCACCAAAAGAAGCAGGAAGAGTTACTCTAAAAGTACATATGAAAATATCTTATCTATTTTACTACAGAAAAAAACTATGGCCAATTAAAAAACAAATACAGGACAGTGTACAAATACACACGTAACCCTGCAGGCTCTGTCCGCATAATTGTTTTGGGGTGTCAGAGCAGTTTTTAAACTTTTTTATGAAATTCTATGAAAAAAAAAATAAAATGACAGAGCTGGGTTTTCTTTTACAACCCCCGGATATGCGCATATCACTTGCTTTCAGGTGCCCCCTCAGAATATTAACCCTATAGTTACGCCACGTACTGCTTTTATATATACTGCTAGATATATGTGAAGAAGTGATGAGAGACAAAAAAAACCCTACAATTAATGTTTACTCTGCTGGCAAATAAAACCCTGGGGAAACCGGGAATTCCAAATTTAACTCAGCCGACGCGACAGGGCCTGAACTCTGCCCTGGTTGCTAAGGGGCAGTACAGTAAACAGTCTTTTGTAAACATACTGGTTTATTCAAACTTTATAAAGTTCACTAGTACTTAGGCCTGAATTGGTTTTTTCAATCACAATTTTGGGAATCTGCCAAAAAAGTGGCAACCCAACCCCAAACATTATATTTTATATTGAAAAAAATATGAAGCACCAAAAATAATCATGAATGGAAATTAGCTGATGAAATTGGCTTTCCATTCATTATTATGTTTGGTGCTATATTGTTTTTGAATATAAAATATATTTTGGGGGGATTTGGGATCCGCTATTTTTGACTCACCCTGTAGTAACGCAAATTCAAAATGCATAAGGAGTAAACTGACGATGAGCCTGTGAGCGTTTTTCCCCAGAGTGAACCGAAATTGAAAAGATCTCGATATCCCAGCCCCCCCCCCCCCCCCCCCCGCTTTTTGTTTTTACGGATGCCAAGTGTCCGGAGAAAAGAAGACTGTCTACATTTCACAACGGATGTGCAAGTGCCCTTTTGGCGCAAGTCAGATTTCACCCAACCCCTTTAATTGCCTCCTGTTCAGTCATGCATGAAAACTAATCCAGTAAAAATGTCACCAAAAGAAGCAGGAAGAGTTACTCTAAAAGTACATATGAAAATATCTTATCTATTTTACTACAGAATAAACTATGGCCAAATTTTAAAAAATTTACAGGCCCAAGGGCGGATCCAGAACACAATTTTTTGGGGGGCCCAAAAAATTTGGTCCCCCAAAAAAGTGGGGCAAAAAATTACGGCTTGGGGTTCGGGCGAAAATTGTTTGGATTCTAGATGCTCTGTGGTGCGATCTAAGGCAATTTCTGACAACCTTAACCAATGTTTTTTGAGGAAAAGATGGTGGTGTACTCATTGCCTGCCTTTATTGCAATGTCACATAAAAAGAAAAAGAAAATTGGTTTCGTTTTTTTTTTTTTGGGGGGGGGGGGGGCATGGCCCCCTTTGCCCCCCCCCCCCTGGATCCGCCCTTGTACAGGACAGTGTCCAAATACACACATAACCCTGCAGGCTCTGTCCGCATAATTGTTTTGGGGTGTCAGAACAGTTTTTTCATTTTTTTTTTAAATGAAATTCTATGAAAAAAGAGAAACAAATTGACAGAGCTGGGTTTTCTTTTACCACCCCCGGTTATGCGCATATCACTTGCTTTCAGGTGCCCCCTCGGAATATGAACCCTAGCTATAGTTACGCCACGTACTGCTCTTACTTATTGTTTAATATCCGAATATCCGAATATCCGAGCTAGTTGTTAAAGCAGCACATGCACATTTATGTAGATATATGTGAAGAAGTGAAGAGAGACAAAAAACCCTTACAATTCATGTTTGCTCTGCTGGCAAATAAATACCCTGGGGAAACCGGGAATTCCAAACTTAACTCAGCCGACGCGACAGGGCCTGAACTCTGCCCTGGTTGCTAAGGGGCAGTACAGTAAACAGTCTTTTGTAAACATACTGGTTTATTTAAACTTTATAAAGTTCACTAGTACTTAGGCCTGAGTTGTTTTTTCCATCACAATTTTGGGAATCTGCCAAAAAAGTGGCAACCCAACCCCAAACATTATATTTTATATTTAAAAAAATATGTAGCACCAAAAATAATCATGACTGGAAATTAGCTGATGAAATTGGCTTTCCATTCATTATTATGGTTGGTGCTATATTGTTTTTGAATATAAAATATATTTTGTGGGGATTTGGGATCCGCTATTTTTTGACTCACCCTGTAGTAACGCAAATTCAAAATGCATAAGGAGTAAACTGACGATGAGCCTGTGAGCGTTTTCCCCCAGAATGAACCGAAATTGAAACGATCTCGATATCCCGGCGCCTTTCAAGTTGTATATCACCTTTTACCATAACATGTATGGTAAAAGATTATACTCAGCAAATTCCTTGCACCGAAGTCGCCGCAACGAAGATAAGTTTGATTCTAAATATAACACATTATAGGCCTACATAAACAAACCTTACACACTCCCTCTATACAGTACTATATGGGGAATTTAGTGAAATGGATTTCGGGGATGTTTACTACAAATAAAATGCTGACGTAAAATAATTAATATCGGGGAGTTTGGAGAAGCGACATGTTTATTATTTCTACATTATGCAACATGAACGTCACTCACTCCTATATATAGACACGTTTCCAATATACTGTGTGTAGCGAGTATTCTCGTATCTAGAATGAAACACAGTCAGGTGATGAAATTTGGACGTTTTGTTTTTATGATTTGATTGACGGAAATTATACCGCCCCTGCCCAATTAGTAAAAGTCCTTAATCCTTATAGGCCACTGCTCTTGTTCTTGTTTAATATCCGAATATCCGAACTCGCTGTTAAAGCAACGCATGCAAATTTATGTACATACATGTGAAGGAGTAAAGAAATTAAAAAAAACCCCACTTTTTCGGGCAATGTGCTGGAAAAGCAAAAAAAAAGGTAAAATACAATTTCTGCATGCTCCACATTGCAAATAACTACCCTGGGAAAACCGGGAATTCCCAATTTAACTCAGCCGACGCTACAGAACTTGAACTCTGCTCTGGTTACTATGGGCCAGCACAGTAAACAGTCTTTTGTAAACATACTGGTTTATTTAAACTAGAAAACGTTCACGAGTATTTAGGCAAGGATTTTTTTTTCATCACAATTTTGGTGTACTTGCAGTACATGGGCATTTTTCTAGAATCACACCTGAAAAGATTGCCTTAATTGCAAAAGGATTCGGAGAAGTCCACTTAGAAAAGGCTTTCTGAAATAATCAAATACTGATCCAGACACTTATATTGACAACAATTTATACGGAAATCCAAAACTACACAAAAGCATGTATTTCCGTGCTTTTCATGCTTAGAGCTTTTTTTCTCTCTTTTTCAGACTCCTTTTCATTTCCATTTCATTTGTACACATTTTCATCGTGTATGGCACTAATATCAATCCGATTGCTTTTATACTTGGCAAGAATGTCACATACAAGATACAAGAAGGCCTATATCTACAGAGCTACAGGTCTGATTGGATTGAAAGTAGGTATATGCCTAGACCGGAATGTTATAATGACGTCATCACATGACTAGTGACGTCATATTAAAGATGCATATTGTAAACGCCCATATCTAACAGAAATGCAGGTCCGATTGGGTTGAAACTCGGTTTGTATATAGATACACATCTTATCACTTACAACATGTATGTCCTATCAGTCTATAACATGATATAAACATGTACATGTATATGTCCACAAACACAATTCTAATTGTATACTTTCCCTTTAATTTCTCTAATTTACCTTGTCTTGTGGGGGATGTTGCAGGTTAGCTGCTAACAGGCTGACCAGACCTTTCTTAACACCTATCACGTGATCATCCTGGTCACGTGGGAAGTACACCTGGCCAATCGCTCCATTCTCGCTGATGTCAAAGGAAAACCTACACAATAGAGTTAAGGTGCAGTAAAGAATTTAACCACAAAATCCCAAACTATACAATGTAATTGCAAAATGCTACTTGGTGTGATGGACAGTTGCGGACAAGTACCTTGGAAAATGTATTTACATCAGCGATCAACTCAATTGCATTTGTAGTGCGTTCATTGCACTCTTCCATAAGTTCCTTACGGTGGTCTAAAGATTTGCATTGGCCTTTGATTTATTGCTGTAGCTGCGCAAAAGCATTTTTTCTGACAAACTAATGAACGGCGGAAATGCGTTATTAGGCCTATAGTTACAATCTTTTGTAAATACTATTGAACCAAATTCATTGATCCTAGCGCCATTTTATTTATTGCACGGGCGAAACCACGGGGTTTTTTTTCTGGTCGTCTGCAACCCGGCTTCGAAAACAAAATAAGCATTCTCTGGTTTCATTTTGCGCCGCTAACGGGTGCGCAAAAAAGGTTCAGTTTCCGCCCTAAAATTTACCGGCAATGTCAGGCCGCAAAATTATTATTGGAAATATATGTAAAGTAATTATTCGATAACTGAACATTAGCAGATTTTTCTTAAGATGTTTTATTAAGAAGTGGACTACTTCTGTATAGTGCCTGCCATCAGTTCTTCATCAAGCTTTGCATGTCGACAAACGATATGGGCAGGGATCAGAATGAAAACTTACCAGTCAGTAAAATCTCTCTCCTCGCTTAAATGAACTGAAACGAAACAATGCAGTGACACTAAAGTTAAATCGAAGAAAAGGTATGCCAACAAATGATCTTCAAAGAATTCGATTTTTTTCCCTAAACGAATGTTGACATAATATACTGCAATTTTTTATGGTTTATGTTTTTTTTTTTTTTTTTTAGATCGCATCATATGTTATTTGACTGTTTTATTTGTCCGTTTTGATTGTTTTATTTGTCCGTTGATCAGTCGGTATGTCGGTCGATCGGGATGCCGGTCGGTCGGTCGGCCTAGGACCGTCACACAGCTCAACAATCGCAATCGGCATGCAATTCGGCATTTAAAAGTGCCTGTAAGACAACAAATACCGTCCAGCAAATGATGGACTATAGCTTTAACAAGTGAACATTTACCAACAATTTAACAGACAACAAACGTACAAAGCAAAACACTTGAGCGCCACTAGCTCTGGACTACAATAACATGTGAGACCCAAGCTTCAGACAAAATGGATCAAATTAAATAAAGTGTCTTTTCGGATATAGAGTGGCATAACCATGGGTAGTACTGCATTTCGTACACTCCCAATCAAGAGGCATTAATTTGGCCATCAATCCTGATTGTTTCAAATATCAGTTAGCTGACTAAAGCAGGCAGAGCTTGTCGACATGTCTAACCGCAGCGTTCTGGGGAGTCTTCACCTCAGCTGTTCTTACATTTCCATGTTTGCCTGGAAATGTCCTTGTTATGAGTCCCAGGGGCCAGTTCTTCCTTGGTATAGTCGCCTCCATGATCAACACATTGTCCCCCGCAGCCAAGCTCCTCTGGAGAATTGATCCACTTTCGCCTAAGGTGCAGAGTGGGGAGATACTCCCGTTCCCAGCGTTTCCACAAGTGATCCACAAGCAGCTGCACATGTCTCCATCGTCGTCCATAGGCATATTGCTTGATGAAATTCCACGAAGGTGCAGGCTGGCCAGCTCTCAGCAGCAGCGGAGAGTTGATAGCTTTGCGCATACTGTTCTGATTTGTCGCTCCCAGATACCACCCAGTTTATTGGTGGGTTGAACTGCCACCTATTTTCATTCAGAAGCAGGTATTCCTTTGTCTTGTTGTTCTGTTTCCACATCTTGATTGATCTTCTCGGCTCCCTTTTAACACCAACAAAGTTTGTCCCATTAGCAGACCGCATTCTCTTTGGCATTCCCCTCCTTGCTGAGTACTTCACCAAAGCATCTATGAACGAGTCTGAGTCCAATCGGTTGAGCTTCTCAATGTGTATTGCTCCTGTTGTTAAGCATGTGGACAAGCAACCATATCTCTTCCCCTGGCTTCGTCCCCTCTTGACGAAGAAAAGACCGAAGCAGTCTACCACGGACAAGAGAAAGGAGAGTCACCCAGAGAATTAACTCTGTTTCTAGGTAGGACAGCCATTCTCTGGACACGTCTTTCCTATGATGCTCATGCAGACGACACATTCAAGAAGTACTTTGTACTTCAATACCGTTCCGTCGTCAGGCACAGCACACACTCCCTCCACGAGTGTGCTGACTTACATGGTGTTGCCGAGGCACTATGGGTGCTTCACTTGCTACTTGAGTGACGCTTTACTTCCTTGTTATCTTGGAGCAGGTACAGGCTCCACTGGCCAAGCTGTCTCATCTCCTGACAAGAACTCCGGTCTCTGTGTCCATTTTGATTGGCATATCCTCTGTTTGGCATCAAGCCCTCTGGAAGCGTCATCGGCTGGGTTAGAGCGTGTATCCACAAAATTGAGCTGCCAGCGAACCTTCGTGAATGGCATTCACTCGATTGGTGACGAAGGTCTGGAATCTCTTAGAGGTGTTCTTGGTGTACTGCAAGACAATCATACTATATCAGTCCAAACTATGGTACTCTGAACTTCCAGCCTCATTTAACGGCGCAGAATACTCCCATCCTCACTGCCATACCTGCCACCGAGAGCTTACGTCGCGTAATGGTCATCAAGAACGAAGTGTGGATATGTTACTGGTTGTTTACCAGCCTCATGCAAGATACCGCGCGCTCCATGTGCGACCATATCGCAGAAGTGTTGTAGCTTCACACTAGAAGGTGTCCCAAACTCTTGAGGTACACCTGGGAACACTGAAATCTTCCAGCTAGGTTAGCTCATGTAGCCACTTCATCAACTGCTCAAACTTTCCTGGCTCTAGTTCCTCATCCCAGTCATTCCCTCTCTTGCATGCATCTTGGAATATCGTCTTTGCTTGGAGCACAAATTTAATGGTCACACAAATCCAAATGAGTCATAGACAGAACTCATGAAGCTCAGAAGACCTCTCCTGTTGTAACCCTTCTCTTTTGGCTTTATTTTGATACCAAACACATCTGTGTGTGTCACAGTGCACTCCAAGTGCTCTCTAGTATAATCCATTTTCCAGGTGCATCCTGGCTCACTGGTAGCATATACTGCATCGCATCGTGTTGCGAACTGGCATGTCGTCTGGTACATTCTTCACGTCCACTCTTCATTCTGCATCATCGGGCTCCATGGTTACTCGCCAGCAAGCAGTTGAAGCGGAGCCGTTTACCTTTCACCATCCCCATTCGCTTTTGCGGGGACATTTCGTGAAGTCATCACAGGCATCAAGACGATAATTTCCGCTGCAGAGGTGGCATGGCTTCGACCGTCCTTCTCTCTTTGATGCACCAAACTTCTTACATGACTCTGCACCATGCTTCCTTGGCATGAACACTGAATCTTGTCCATCGCTTTGGATTTCCGGATTTGCCCGATTCCTTTGAGATCCTGTACTTATATAGTGTTCAGGGATCCAAACACAGGGCCACTGGCCTCCTTGGCAGCCACATTCAGGAATTTGACAAGCCTGTTGATGTTGGGGTAATCACCAGTTGCTTCCAGTGTTCCAGTGTCTTTATTGCTTCATTTCGCCATCTTGACTGCAGAAAGAATGGTAGCTGTTCCACAAAATGTTTACCATCCTCAAACTAGAGTCGATCCCATTGAGCTTGTTCATTGCCTCAAGCGTCTCCATGCAGCCTTGGACCTCATCAGTAAAATAGTGTATGGCTTCGGCTCTGTTCGATATAACTGGGCCCTCGTATACTATGTCGACCCAGGATCATTGCAAGATGTTGAACGCATTGCCGAATCTCACCTTTAGAAGTGTCCGTGCTTTTATCATAACTTCCGGATTGTTTTATCATTGCACATGGCTGAATGACACGAGCTGCCTTTCCATTACAGTACTCAAACAGTATGTTCAACTTCTCCATCGCTGACAGAGGAGTTCCCAAGACAACTGTGGAATGAGTTCATGAACGCCCAGTAGTTCATGGGGTTGCCATCAAAGGACATCAAACTGGTTTTCGGAATGTTCATAACATCTAACATCTAAAGCTGTAGTGCTAGGAAGACACCCACCGGTTCCGTTGTGGGAGTCGGCCAAGCCTCCGCAAGTGGGTTAAGATTTTAGTTCTGAACGTCATTACTCTTCGGACATTCAGGTGTTGGTATATCTGATGTAGCATTGGTCGATAAGGGTTGCTGATCTGGTACCCCCCTCCCTCACAAAAAACGTAGTTCTTAGTTCATGACTGCACGATCACCAGTTGATCATAAGGGGCCTAATGAACTTGGCTAATGCTTCTGCCTCTGCCAAAGCTATCTCGATTTATGTTTCAAGTTGCAGGGACTCCATTGCAGCTTTCTGTTTCAGCATTTGTTCATCCATGGGTTTTCTGCTTCAGTTGCTCAAGCTCCAAGCCCTGCTTTGCCGGTGACATGGAGTGCTGCCCTTCTGGTTGCAGCTTTTGCTCTGGCACTTGATGTCAACGGATTTCTGGAACGCCTTATGTTTTCTTTTAATATTTGAAGCATCGTCACCTCGGGATTTGATAAGCATAATTAGCTTCTCCTTTGTCACTGCTCCTTCTTCCAAGCTGTCACTCAAACTTCCACGGTTACTAATCTTTGATATGTATTCAGCTATACATGTATTATTGCAAAGGTCACTCACAATCAAATTATATGCAGTGTTTAGTTAGTACACCTCTGGATTGTACAGAAAATGTGATGGATTTTGGCTGTGTAGAATTCAAACTGTCCACTGTTTCTCACTGACACTTACATTAGCCATAATTAACACGCATTTGTTTGGTTCATCACTTTATTGCGAGTAATCTACATTCACCTGAGCAGTGACAATACCGGTCTAACTATGTCTGGTACAAGATAATCCTCACAATATTTATATAATAAACAGGTCTCCAAAGTTGTACACTGCAAGGGTTCACTGTCTCTTATAACTTTGCCGTACTAGTGCCAAAGTCACCTTGTAAGTGACCATGCTTTATATACACACATTTCTAGATATGTTATGACGGACGTTCCAATTGAACTGTCGATAAACGACGTACGGCCAAAAAAAACAAGTCTCCGGTTTCTGGTATGCGCGCGCGTCGCCGTAGCCATGCGTGTAGGCAAAATGAAAAAGTTTTTTTTTTTCAATGAAAGATGATGTCTAAAAACCGCCAAACTCACTCGTTTGACTGGAATCCTGCTGATGCACAATTTTAACGTGTTTTTTTAGATTGGGTTATGATCGAGAATAAGCTTTATGTGGCCTCTCTGGACTCCCATATATTTGCACTAAGATTAGTCGGGCACCATTTGCAGTCATCAGCCAACATTTGAAGCAAAACAATCAGGTAAAAAAAAAAAAAGCCGCGTCGCCGCACCACTTTTTGGGCAAGCTCCATACCAGAAACCGGAGACTTTTTCTTTGGCCTAAACAATGTCCAAAAACGTTGGTGATGATTTGTCCACGTGTTTGTCGACTTGTCGTAACGTTATGCGGAGATCAATTAGCTAACATAAGTGACTTACAAACCCGAATGCTCCTATTGCACATCCGCAATGTGTATAGACCCTATCAGCTTACTTTGTATCCTAAACCACTTTAGAAATCCCAAAATGATATCATATTTTGTCGCAAACAATAGGGTACCTCGCAGTGGCTACTCTGAACTTCGTGGAGTGCTCTCGATTTGCACTAACATGTAAGTAAACGAACCCACGTTAACACGCAACACCAGTGGTACTTGAGTTTGACATAATCGAATTATTGAATGTGCGCAACTTTTTTGCGACATTTGAATTCAATCATTTCTTTCGCCTGATGGTGATGCCGAAGCTCCGGGAAAAACAATGCGTGAGACCCCCTTCGTTTACTAAACTACCTTGTCAATATAAAATTTACAGAAGTAAGCCTGGAGGCAAAATATCAGAATTCACCGAAGGCGGATATTCTCCGTCAAAAATAGACTTTAATTGAATCAATCCTGTGAATTTTTTTTGTACCTCGTTCCTCCTGGCTGGTTACGGCCGCCGAGTGAACCCGGAGGTAAATCTCCTGAAGCCCGCTGCTACTGTTGGAACTTTTCACCAATACGAAGCCAATCTATGGTGACATTAAAATATAAACAACATAAGTTTAACTGTAATAAAACCTGTAGTTCCATCTTAAAACTTCAGCTTTTGTTCTTCCTAAGACAGGCTTCATCTTGTAGGGGACAAACTTTAGTCAGTTAATTTAAGGGCAGTGTGAAATGTTTTTTTGACAAGTTAGGCCTAGGTTAAATTACTGCAGTTTAGCGCTGGTGAAACGCCAATTAACAACCACCATTTCCTGGCAGGAAAATCAGGCCTACTTTTTCTTTTCATGGAACACCAGTTTACGCTTGCTTTAAGGTCACTCACTTGAATTTCCTCTTACAAAAGAAAATATAATTCTTTTGGGACTTTCTGCAGCGGCCCGACGTACAGCCCGCAGGTTGTCCTTGATGCGCCAGACGCAATGATGATGTTACTTCATTCAAGGTCGGGTTTTTAAAAGTTAAATTGCGCGTGCAAATCATTAAGGTCTATAGGAGCCTGGAGATATGTTGCAAAAGTGGTGTTCTGACTGGGAAAAGGTACAGTTCAAAATTGTGACTTAAAACAGCTTAATTTGGTGTTCCAACTTTTTAAAATTTGCGATGAAGAAAAATAGAGTACTGCAAAAGATATCAAACAAATTCCAATAGCATTTGAAAACGAGTTAATATGAAAGTATGAAAATTGCGGTCCACACGGAGAGACAAAAAAATGTACTGGAAGACTTTCGCCTATCTGCATCCTTAATGAATTAGAGAAAAAGACCACTATTGGGCGTTCGGCAAAAATCCCCCATGGACAGTGATGTTGCAACACTATGTCCAAAGCATCTGATCACGATTACCAAATGATAACCTGGATCGTTTGGGAATTGCAACCAAGTTTACACGACATACTAGACGATTGAGAGTGAAAGACTTATTATTTCAGAGCTTACACAATCCCGGGAACGAAGCTCTGAATGAAAGAATTACTAAGCAAAGTGCATGATTAAGGTCACTATACCTTAGACTCGGCCTGCAGCGTGCGAACCTTCTTCAATTCCGTAGAGGAATAGAAGGTGTAGACGTACTCGGTGTCCGGTTTGAACAGGATGAAACTGGCAAGGACCGGACTGATCCAGCTAGTGCTTATGGAGAGTACCAGAGCTAGCTTCAGCATGGTGACTCCAAGCCGAAGATTGGTCCTCCCTAGTCCTGCCGGCAAGGCCATCAGTGGATGGCCTGCTTCGGCGGCAGGAAAATCCCGAAATCAAATACTTGAAGTTCTGAAATGAGAGAGAAAAGAAAAACCTTGAAGGAGGAAAAAGAACAAGCAAGTGGTCACTTTCGGGATTAATATGAAGTCCATTTGGGGCTCGATACCTCCTATTTTCGCAATAGAATATAGGTACAAACTCACAATCAAAGAAGCGAACTTTAAATTATATCAGTCATTACCGAAGAAGTCAATGGTATCGAATTAAACAGATCCTTGTCTTATGAGGTAACATTATTTAAGTGTGCGTTTAAATGATATTTAGAGTTTCATCAGCAAATATACATACTTTTCTATAAACATCGAATTCTTTCTGGCAATACGAAAGTTATTCACGTGTAAATGAGCTATCGAACGACGAATTAAAAAAGGGCTCACGTTAACGTTTTATAATAATTAATTTACAAATTGCGAATTATTTGCGACCTAAATATGCACTTTTCTCTGGATAGACTGGTTCCTGCCCCCACCAGAATCCAGGGACTGATAATGGAGCCTGAAAGTATAAAAAGTCACGCGGCGAGCTTCCGGAACTTTCGCGCGGCTCGCCTTTGGGCATTTTACACTGGCTTGCCTTTTTTCTAATTTTTGACAGAATGATTTCTTCTGCTTCTTCTGCTTCTGTTGTATACTATGCAAGCACCACCCGATCACGGTACAACGTATAGGTCAGTGTGGCGGTGGTGGTTAAATTGTGTACTGAGCTTTTTTGACCAGCTCATCATCCATATGTTCTTGATCCCGTCTCTCTTTGAATAATTTAATGTCAGATTTCTAACCGTAATCACCCTAAGAAACATCCAAGTTGTAATTTTACCTTGGTATTCCTCAATAGAAATGACGAGAAATTACTTGGAGATGGGTAAAAACGAAATTTGTTTTACGACCTTTCACATCCGGCATTTTACGTTCCTGTAGGTCTCCTTATTTGTTCACATTTGTTGTGACATATGTGGCAAAGAAAAAAAAATGTATAACAACGCAAAGATTCAACTACTGACAGCCAAGGGTTCTAAATTTAGTCGTGATGGCTTAAATACAGTCCTCATCACCTGTCATTTTAGATTTGTTTTGTAAGTGCTAATGAATCTTTCTAGTTTATTCCCCCAAAAAATGTGTATCATAAAAGTAAAACTAAAATACTTCCTAGTCGTCTCCCGATAACCGCCACAAAATTATGCATCAATGTTCATCTTTTCATCATTTTTTACGAGTACACCGAGTTCCATTAGTCCACATGTATTTTAGATTTTTGGAAGTGAGAGGTCAGTTTTTGGAACGATATTTACGTTTCCATAAATTGAGATACTATCATTACAAAGGCCTATTCCAGGGTGATTTTCTGAAGAAATCAATGTACCAAAAGTAATTGCAAAGTTTATAATTTTTGCACGGTAATTTTTCTATTCAAGGGTTTGGGAAGCGCGTCTTCAGGGGTGAATTTTCAGGCTCTATTATAGTATGCTTAAAGGGCGGATCTTTTTGTGATTCAGGGAACCTTGCAGGTGTTATGTACTGTCAATAATGAATATGCTGGCCGTCCAAAAGCACACACACTCCCGCCTGGAGCCCTGCCTGTTATGCAGCCCAACATCAAACTATTATGTTTTTTAGGGGTTGCAGATGCCCAAAGTAGGTCATTTTGCCGTCAAAATATACACATCCATGTTGCTGAACAGTTCGCAAAATAAATTAATATATAGCGAGGAACTTTTTTACGCAGAAATGACACACAGACCCCTTTCTGATTTACCACGGATAGTCATTCAGTACTTATTCTAGAACCAGACCGAGTAAAGATTCTTCGAGAAAAAGAACAAAATAAAAAACCCAATGAGAACTAAAAACATGTACGTAAAATCCACTACAATACAGATATTCCCTCAATGAGGAAGATTGTACATTGGAAATGGAACAACAATTCCAAATGTAACATGAACCAACCAAAAACTAATTGGTGTGACTCTTGTCAATTTGTATTTGTTTTCACCCTAAATTGCTGCTTAAAGGGAATATACATCATTTGCTTTTGCTGTAATTTTCAGAAATGGATGGAATTGGGGGGTTGGAAATATATAGTAAAGGTAGTTACACTGACTTTTTTGAGGTTTTGGGTTCGAAAATGCTATAAAAACCAAGAAAAACAATCATTTTCCTGTAGTCTGGTTCCCTGACTCCATATAAGAAGAAACAGAGCAGTTTACATACATTGGGGAATTGTAAGGTCAGGGAACCAGTCTAGCTGGCTTGTACCCGTTCATAGGTGTGTAATCGACTGCAAACAAGTGCGATGGTCAATTGGGGCCAGTATTTGAAAAAAAGCCAGTTTTTTTCCAACGCTGATCGGCCGATCAGCGTTGGAAATTGATACAAAAATACCACTTTTCTTGAAAATGACAGTATACCAGGTGCCATGATTTTACAGGATGCTTTACACTGTCATTCACTAACAGTCCAGCAAGGTATTTCAAAATGATTTGGTAGTTTTATTTTTTGATGTTTGCAAATGTTGTATTTTCCCTTTAAAGATATATACCTTTTGCAATTACGACTATAACGATCAGCCCCAGATGACAAATGTTTTCTGGGGATTTTTTCGGAAGTTACATTTTAGTTGAAACGTTTCCAAAGATACACCGTTGCTTATATTTTTTTCAATATTCGTCATTTATCGTATATTTTATTCCATTTCAGTTTATCTTAGGCCAAACAAAAAAAGTCTCCGGTTTCTGGTATGCACGCGCGTTGCCGTAGCCATGCGCGTCGGCAAAATGAAAACGTTTTTTTTTCAATGAAAGATGATGTCTCAAAACCGCCAAACTCACTGGTTTGACTGGAATCCTGCTGCTGAACAATTTTAACGTGTTTTTAGATTGGGTTATGGTCGAGAATAAGCTTGATGTGGCCTCTCTGGACTCCCATATATTTGCACTAAGTTTAGTCGGTCACCATTTGCAGTCCTCAGCCGACATTTGAAGCAAACAAATCAGGTAAAAAAAAAAGCCGCGTCGCCGCACCACTTTTTGGGCAAGCTCCATACCAGAAACCGGAGACCTTTTATTTTGGCCTTAGGCTTACCTTTTTTTGGTCGCAGCCTTCCCTCTTCAACGACGACGACAAATACGGCAGCAATCAATGACAATAGCTTGTAATTTTACAAAATACAAGCGCAAGAGGCACAGCGGTAGTCACAAGTTTCTCCAATAAAATCTCTATACTGTGAAAATGAAAGATGTATCATTATTAAGGAAATGCTCTAAACAGGCATCACGTGAGCTATATATCAGCAAATTAGGACGTAGTAAACAATCCAACCTGTACCCAACGCAATCAGAGCAGTTAGCTTGTAGCAAATCAGTAATATTGAACCTTTGAGCCTATATGCCCCAACGCCCCAACAAGTACACTCTGGGATTACCCGGATGATTCCACTTACTTTGTCCATAATGACATGCGATACTATTATGTCAAGCCACCATGAAAAAGATTACAAATCGTTTATCACTTTTTTGAAGTTTCAATCACTGATAACAGTGACGGGTAAAAAAATTACAATGCATACATTGATGGAACTCATTCGCGCAATGTTATAAAACTGACTGCAAGTCTCGAAGTTCGTCTGCGCTCCAAACTAGTCAATGTAATTACATGTAAAGGCTACAAGAATTGACCGTCGCAAGAAGACTCCAATGTCAGTAAGTATTAAATTCATTTAAGCCTGCTTCCTTCATTGCTGAACAAATCTGTAAAGTTGGAAGGCCTTACGATCGATCCTAAACACTCTAAAAATGGAAATAAAAAAGTGTAAATGTTTGTTGTGTAAAACTGTAAAAATTTGCGTAGAAATATTTGCTCAATGCAAAATGAAAATTCCACTTGTACCTCCTATACTTGTGTTTTATCTGCTACACTAAAAAAACACCTCAAACAATGCCTCTATACAGCGTTATATGAGTACCTAATTGTTGGTAGATATGTGCGCTATATAAACTCCGAAAGTATTATTAATTCAGTGAAATAAATTTCGGAGATGTTTACACCAAATCAAATGCTGATGTATAACGATATATATCGTGGAGTTTGGAAAAGTGACATGATTATTATTTCTACATTATGCAACCTAAACGTCTATTCAGATCGCAGAGTTCAAAGTTGAATAAAAATGTAAGGGTTAAAATACAAATTAAGGTGCATAATAACTGATTTAAAACAACCCAAGCGATGGGTACATTTATAACACAACAGTGCAGGGTCCGAAATAGAACCCAATATCTGGGTAAGAAAATGACACAACACATACGTAAAATGCGCGTTGGGTAAAGAGTTAAACAAAGGGAAAATGGTTGTCACATGGGTACATTTCTTACACGACTTAGTTGCAATGTGCCATTATGCAACACAATAATGGGTGAAACGTTACACGGAAATGATTTATTGTGTACACTGTAGCTGTTGTGTAGCACAATTTACACAAGTGGACGACCTTAGGCTTTTTCACACTGTCCAAAATCTCCGGGTTGGAACCGGTTCCAACCCCGAGATTTTTTTCAACCCTTTTCCCACTTCTAAAATTTCAACCCGGTTCCGACCCAGGTAGCGTGCTCTAGCCGGATCGAAATCAACCCTAGGAGGGACCAGGGTTGAAAATCTCAACCCGGATCGAAATTGCATTTTTTGGCCTGAACCGTGTCGAAAATGATAGTGTGAACCGCCCCGGGTTGAGTCACTCACGACCAATCTGTTGAGTTGAGACCGACATTTTACCGAAAGTCTGACACGCCGTGCATAATATTTCCCTCCACCACTATCGCCGTCACAACACCGATCACGAAACAATCGCTCCCTAATTATCATCCAATAATGTATCGGTGTATGGAGCATCCTTTACCGAGTCTGGGTTTGTATTAGGTCCGCAAAATGTACCCCAAAAATGTACATTTCTCAATGTTAAATAG